ATGCCAGATAGTGTTCTGAGTTGCAAGAGACAACAACAGAAATAAATGCGACTTTTCTTGTGCATAACATCAAGTCAGGTTAAATCCATAATTAGGAAGAAGCCTAATTATATGTTCCTAGAATTGTAACATTACTGCTGTTTATATAAATATGAGTTTCCACAGAAAATAAGCCAGCATGCTAAGTGAAGGAGGGAAGTCTGATAAAATGCATTTCTTTTAAGATTTATTTATTTATTTGAAAGGCAGAGTAACAGAGAACCGGGGAGAGAAAAAGAGAGAGAGAGATCTGGCCGGCACCGTGGCTCACTAGGCTAATCCTCCGCCTGCGGCACCCGCACCCAGGTTCTAGTCCTGGTTGGGGCGCCAGTTCTGTGCTGGTTGCTCCTCTTCCTGTCCAGCTCTCTGTTGTGGCCCGGGAGTGCAGTGAAGGATGGTCCAGGTGCTCAGGCCCTGCACCCGCATGGGAGACCAGGAAGAGGCACCTGGCTCCTGGCTTCGGATTGGCACAGCGCACTGGCCATAGCAGCCATTTGGGGGGGTGAACCAATGAAAGGAAGACCTTTCTCCCTGTCTGTCTCTCACTGTCTATAACTCTCTCTCTCTCACTGTCCAACTCTGCCTGGCAAAAAAAAAAAAGAAAAAAGAAAAAAGAAAAAAAGAGAGAGAGAGAGAGAGAGAGATCTTGCATCTGCTGGTTCATTTCCCAAATGACCCCAATGACCTTGGCTGGGCCAGGCCAAAACCAAGAGCCAGGAATTTCCTGCAGGGGCCCAGGGACTTGGGCCATCCTCTGCTGCTTTCCGAGGCGCACTATCAGGAAGCTGGATCGGAAGTGGAGCAGCCAGAACAGAAACCCATGTACATATGGGATGCCGGTACTGCAGGCAGCAGTTTAACTAGCTGTACTACAGTGCTAACCCGAAAATACATTTAACTTGGCTTGATCACATATATATCATTATATAGTACTAAATTGTGCAAGTAACTGTGAAAATAAATAGTAATTGAACTCCCAGAGAACAGTTTTCTTAAACTGGATTATTTAAATGATTGTGCACTTTATAATACTCAAATAGGAAACAAACAAGATGGAGTATCCTTCTAGACGATGAATACAAAATCACATTCATAAGATTAATGAGAAAAATTAGTCTGCTTCATGCCCTTTGCAATTTTTATTAGACATATCAGTGGAGCGTTTGTGATCAGTAGGCTTCATATACAGGAATTTATTTCTTCTATGCTATATGCATATACTCTATCTAATCTCTCCCTGGTGTAAAGGCTCAAAGGATTGACAGGAAGAAACTGAAGTGATAGCGCCACGGCACACCCTAAATGGGGTGTCTTTGTTACAAAATCTTCATCCTATCTGTGAGCAGAGGCTGTATGCTCTAGTGATTGTTATGTAGTAGATGAACAGTCATCTCAGTAGGCAAAACCTTGCTTGCTCTCCATCTTCATCAACTGATCGAGTTCTGAATGTATCTTGGGAATAGGGAGGACCCAGAAATCCAAATTAATTCCTGAAAATTTTGTGAGACTTCACTTCCAAAAAGTTCAAATTCTGAGGTAATTTTAAAACTTAAATTAGTCAAAAAATATAAGTAATGTACAATGTTAGTCATATTACATAAATTAAAAGATTTAAGCTTTGATTCTAAACTTTGTTTAGTGTGTACTAAGTCACTTGGGATGCTTTTAAGTCCTAGATTTCATTCCAAATCATTCTGATTCAATAGATTTAGGAGAGGTTTTGGGAATCTATGGTTTAGTGGCTGTCACAGGTGATTCTAACATGAGCAATGTAATCTGGCATTCATAGGTTAAAGCAAGGGCCGTGAAAGTCCCAGGACTTTCAGTGGGTAAGTGCCTTATAGTCCTGCGGAGACTTTAAAGACAGGCTCTGCCTTAAGTTACTCATGATCAGTTCAGGGGTTGAAATACCAAGAAAATTAACCTTGTGAAATGAGGAAATAAGTACTTTATATAAGCAGTGTTTTAAAAGTTCTAAGAGAATATAAAGGGAGAAGTAATTATTTCTGCAAGGGGTTGGAGAGGAAAGTTGAGTGCTTTTTTGAGGGGGGAAAACAGTCTTTGGGAGGGGGCATGTAAGCTGTCACCCAGTTACTAATATTTATGGGGATTTTTGTCATCACCCTTGTTGAAACTGCTTTTTAAAATTCTATGAAACCCACTGTGCAGCTGCTTACCTCCATGTTTATCTCAAAGGATATTCAGTCATAAAAATGACCATTTCATCCAGCTTATTTAGATCTATGACTTACCCAACTTTTTCTAGCCAGCTTTTATTGTAGGTTCCGTTTATGCTAATCTTATGCTCGAGTTATTAAAAGTCCCATACTATGCTAATTGTTCATTTGTTCCTTTTTTTTTTTTTTTTTTGGCTTAAAACATACACCTTCTTTTTCTTACTTAGGCCCCAAGATACTGTTGATCTGGGATGGATATTTTCATATTGTGGCACTCTACCAGAAAATAGCTTACTAGAATGGGCATATATGATAAGGCAAACCACTTTATAGCTCTTTCAATAGATTTCTGACTAAAGTAAATTTATTTAAGATAGTTTACATCAGCAGGCCAGCAACATTTGAACTTGAAAGAAAATTTAACAACTACTGAATGAATACACTCTCAAATGTTTTTGAGAATGAGCCCTTTCCATTTCATAATACTTTTTTGTTGAATTCCTGAGATATATCTGAATATTAAAAAAGTTCTTAAACTAAGAACCAGTCTCATTAGTTGCAAAGTACAACATTATAATACTACAATTAAATATAATTACAAATACAGAATATATGTGCTTGGTACTTTAACACACACATATAGTGTTAAGTATCTATGTTACTCTTTCAAGTAAATATTGTCCTATTTCAAACTATTTGACAAAATGAATTATTCTATTATTAAGGCTTACCCAGTGGAGAAGAGTTTGTCCCAGAAATGTCAAAGCTATTAATTAGTTTCTGTGATCTACAATCTATATTTGGTAAAGGATATGTCCCTCATGAAATTCAATGAACTTCACAGAGCAGCCAGGGACACAGGAGCAGGCAAACTCAGGCTCAGTCAACTCCCAAGTGACTTCCTGGTGCTGCCCCAGGTCGGGGGAGCCCTCACCCATCCTTCCCGGCCTCCACTCACTAGTCTGACACTACATCAGGAAAAAGGGGGAAGGAGAGAGTAAGACAGACAGGAACATGGTTTTCAACTTACTAGTCACTGAAGAAAGAAAAATTCAGCAGTAATGACTTCAACTGTTTAACAGTTGTATTTTCACCTACAGGCATACATTCTAGTACTACTAATCTGAAACTGGAATTTTGCAGATTAATTGAAATGGATGAAAGGAAAGGAGAAAAAGAAGGTACAAGAGAGCTTTGGGTCGCTTTGGCTTAGTAAAGATTTGAAATAAATGGAGTCAGTTTCAAAATTTATTATATTTTACTGTGATCTTCAAAACAGAAAAAGAAACATAAGAGTGAAAAGTATGATAGAATCCTTTCTGTGTTAGCCTGTTTCTTGAATGTTTTCATTTTACTAAAAATCTTACTTTTATAATGCCTATGCCGACAACTCTGTTATGAATCACTTAATACAGGTATGGGCTTTTTTGCCAGGTCAGTAATTCCCAAAATGAAAGCCAATGACATGTGTGGAGATACTAATGGCAGGTCATGGCTCTAAAGCTAAAAAGTCTCTGCAACACAGGGCAGCATAAATAAAGGAAGGTCAAGTGGATCTGGAGTCAAAGGAGGGCCAGTTATTTCAGGGTTAGGAGAGAGAATCTCCTATTTGAACATGTTTCCCCTAATAAAATGGACTCTAATTGGTTGACTTAAAGTAGCAGACAGCAGGGTAGAAATAGCAGCATTTGTGATTTTAACACCTGTGTTTGTGAGCTACATAATTAACAACAATGCCTGCCTCTTAGACCACAATGAACTCATCTCTGCTAATTATGCAGGGTCACAAAAATAAAAAAAAAACTTTTGAATCACATTTAATAAACTAACATTTCCAAAGCACCAACTATGTATACAGTGCTAAGCTATCTACAATGGAAATTTTAAAACCATAATAATAAAAGCACAGCACATGGCCCCAGCCATTTGGAAATTAAAAAAAAAAAACTTATTGAATGAGATAAGACTGATTATATACAAAGTGAAAATATTGAATATAGGGAACTTCAAAAAGTTTGTGGCAAATGGTGCAAAAAGTATTGAAATCAGGCCAGCACCACGGGTCAATAGGCTAATCCTCCACCTGCAGCACCGGCACCCCTGGTTCTAGTCCCAGTCGGGGCGCCGGATTCTATCCTGGTTGCTGGTTGCTCCTCTTCCAGTCCAGCTCTCTGCTGTGGCCCGGGAGTGCAGTGGAGGATGGCCCAAGTGCTTGGGCCCTGCACCCCATGGGAGACCAGGAGAAGCACCTGGCTCCTGGCTTCAGATCAGCGCGGTGCGCCGGCCGCAGTGGCCATTGGGGGGTGAACCAACGGAAAAAGGAAGACCTTTCTCTGTCTCTCTCTCTCACTGTCCACTCTGCCTGTCAAAAAAAATAAATAAATAAAGTATTGAAATCACGCATAATTATTTTCCTAATTGGATTTTCCATGAATTTTTTGAAGTTCCCTCAGAAAATGAAAAGATCTCATGCCCTAATTGCATCTTGATGTTTGTCAAAGTTGTAGACAGGTATCATTTGGAAAACTTTTAATTCACTCTTTGAGATGCACCAAAACACTGGTTTTCTCAATGTTTCACCAAGGTTATAAATAACAAAGGGTATCTTCATCATCATCTTAGAGTTCTAGAAGTTAAATAACAGCTTAATATGAGAAGCAGAAGGCTAGATCAAAAATACTCTTGGAGTCAAAAAAGCAAAGTATGTCTTTAAAGTAGGTGAAAAAAAATAGTTAATTCATTCTTCATTTCAGGACTTAACAAATAGGATGCCTTGAAGGAAGAAGTCAAAAAGCACCTCAGTTTCATGAGCAAATGCAAATGAAAAAAACCACAACCACAACCAACCAACACCAATCAGAGGGGTGTTCCTTGTGGGCCCTATCTGAGGATTGGTAGAAACTGTATTTTTTATCTGTTTTCATGCTTGTCCAAAATCTTAAAAGGGAGACAAAAAAAAAAAAAAAAGAGGAAGGCTCTGTATAAAAAAAGTTATCTTGCAACTTTTAAATTTCACACAAAAACTTCAGGTAAGAAAACTTACCCGAGCTGGCATCTCATCTTTGGTGATGGACCCAGAAGCAACACCGGCGTATCTGGATTACTACTATGCAACAGACCCAAGCCCCGATATCCAGGACACCGGCTCCCACATTCCTTACCTATCTGTCTTCCTTCCCATCTTTTACACAGCTGTGTTTCTGACTGGAGTGCTGGGGAACCTCGTGCTCATGGGAGCGCTGCATTTCAAACGTGGCAGCCGGAGACTGATCGACGTCTTTATCATCAACCTGGCTGCCTCTGACTTCATTTTTCTTGTTACGTTGCCTCTCTGGGTGGACAAAGAGGCAGCTTTCGGACTGTGGAGGACGGGCTCTTTCCTGTGCAAAGGCAGCTCCTACGTGATCTCAGTCAACATGCACTGCAGCGTCTTGTTGCTCACTTGCATGAGCATTGATCGCTACCTGGCCATCCTGCGCCCTGCCGCTTCCAGGAAGTACAGAAGGACAGACTGTGCCTATGGAATCTGCGCCAGCGTCTGGTTTATCTCCTGCCTCCTGGGGTTGCCTACTCTTCTGTCCAGGGAGCTCACGCTGATTGAGGATAAGCCATACTGTGCCGAGAAGAGGGCAACACCAAATAAACTGATGTGGGCCCTGGTGACCTTAATTTTCACCTTTTTTGTTCCCTTGCTGAGCATTGTGACCTGCTACTGTTGCATTACGAGGAAGCTATGTGCACATTACCAGCAGTCAGGAAAGCATAACAAAAAGCTGAAGAAATCTATAAAGATCATCTTTATTGTTGTGGCAGCCTTTGTCCTTTCCTGGCTGCCCTTCAATACTTTCAAGCTCCTGGCTATCATCTCTGGATTGCAGCAAGAACTCTACTTTTCCACAGCCACTCTTCAGCAGGGCATGGAGGTGAGTGGACCCTTGGCATTTGCCAACAGCTGTGTGAACCCTTTCATCTACTATATCTTCGACAGCTACATCCGCCGGGCCATCCTGCGTTGTTTGTGCCCTTGCCTGAAGAACTATGACTTTGGGAACAGCACTGAGACATCAGACAGTCACCTCACTAAGGCTCTTTCCAACTTCATTCACGCAGAGGATTTTGCCAGGAAGAGGAAGAGATCTGTGTCACTCTAGAGCAAGCTGTGACATTTCAAGTTCTGCTGATGGGTTAGGGACTTAATTTTTGTCAGCAACAAAGAAAGAAGAAAAATATTACAGGATTTATAGTGCTTCGTAAATACAAGGAAGTGTTAAGTTGTAAATAGAGGGCTGAAAACTCCCTGTGTTATGGAAACTATAAGGTCAAGTGCTATTTTTTCATCTGGGTGGCCTTGTTTGACCCTTACCAATCAAATCCGGGCAGAATATGGTTCTCATCTGACCTTGAACTCTTAGATGAAGGCTCCTGCCTGGATCAGTTCCTTTCTTCATGATTATTAATCTGATCTCTCAAGAATCATGGGCATTTCATGCACACCACACTTCCTACTGGGCTCCAAATTGGACTACATTTAAAAGATTCTGCCCACTTTCATCTGGAAAGAAATGTGGTCTCAAAGCAGGTAACAAAAAATATGGTACACTCACACTCTAATGAATTGTTCCTGAGTTCCTAAGCTAGCATCTGGCCTCAGGCTTTAAAGTTTAGTATAGTGGTGCTTTATCATTCTGCAGCATTATCTTTCATCCCTGGTGCATCCACAACAGTTTTGGATTGGTAAAAAACTCATGGAGATAAAATCATTTTCTGTTGTGCTTATAATTTGGGACTTAGTCTTCTAGAGTATTTTAACAAGTAAGCCTATAAGCCTAGGGCAAGGATTGACCTGTATTTTGCCCTATAAGATATACAGGTACAAATGTTTCTCATTATAATGATGAGGTTTTACTAGACCCTTTTGTTTTCATTGCCTTTATAAAATTGGTTTTGACTTTACTTTAATTACATGATTTAAAATTACTCAGTTATCTAGTTATCAAATGAAAATGTTACTACTAATATAATTGGGCCTCCTCAGATGTTAGGCCCACCCCTATGCAAATTATTACTTTGTATTTTAATTAAAATGTTTGTGCTATATACAGCATCATTTGCTTGGTGTATATAATTTCAAGGTGGGAGTTAATAATATAGGAAGACAGGAGGCTCTGCATTCAGCCAGAGATAAAAACAAAAGTGAACGAAGATGTTAGTATTTCAAATTCATTTCTCCACACCCAGAGATTTTCTTGAATTCCTTCACCCAATAAATATTTATTCAATTTCTATCTGTATTCCTCTTAAAAATGTTGAAAGAAAAAACCACGTAATTTGTCGCAACCACAAAAGTCTTGCAGTGCCAGTTATGCTACTGTGAACATTTTTTTTATTTAAAAGCATCCCCCTGTAGTTGATCCAAATAAAGTACCATTTTATTTACAAACATTAGATTTGAAAACCAGAGAAAGTCTTAGGATCTCTTCAGAAACTGAGCAATTTAATTTCAATCTATATATTACATTATGGGAAATCTTAATTATTAGACATTTAATAACCTTTTTCAGCTAAAAATACAGTTTTTATTTTATAAATCGATTAATTTCTCAATTAAACTATTAATAAAACTATAATTTCCTTATATAAGTATTCTTCCATATTGTATTGTGGTATGACTGTATATTATCATTGATTAATACAAATATCCTAACAGCCTTTCAATAAATAATGATTACAGGAATAAAAGGACTATGTAAATCATAACAATAAATCCTCTTGAATGAAAACTGAATTCAAAATAATTCCATAGGTCTTCATAATTTAAGCAAAAACAAAGTACAAAAGATAGAAGATACCTTCTTCTTGAAAACGAATCAACAAAAGTACTGCTGTTAATCATGAAAGTTATTGCCTTTGAGAAATATGACTCTCAAAAAAAGGTGAATCAACCAGCCAGGGTATTTGTTGGGAAACAAGAACTTCTATGTTATTTTAGCTTCATCATTAATGTTGGGTCATAGAAAAAACTGTTTTAATCTTTCATATCTAAATATAGTTGCTGATAGCTATGTCTATAATTATCAAGGATATCAGAATACCAATAAATGAAAATTAAAATGTTTCTAAAATATCAGGCAAAAGATTATTATATAGTGATTAGATTTGTTATTAATTACAGAATGCTGCTAAAAAATCCAAAACTAGACTATCAAAGGATATTTAGTTTATTCTCATTTAACAAATACTGAGAATTTATCTTTTATGTCATCTCTTTAGTATTTGCTGGGAATATTTAAAATAACACTATATAAAAACATATTGTTGGATCTTTTAATACTTTAAATAGATATGATCATTGTATGCCTTAAGAAAATCTCAGTGTATTTTATATTCATAATGCATCAATTGTGAAGTGAAAATAGACATAATTTTTGATAGTGTAACCATCATAAAAATAGTACAAGATTTGAATAAGCTGGTATGTCATTGTTACATATGGGTTATTCTGGTAAACAAATGTAATTTACTATGTAATAGCATTAAACTGTTTTATAAATTATTTAGTGATGTGTCATTTTGCATATTTTAAAACCATATTTCCCAGTCTTAATATGAATAGCATATTTATATACATTTGTATTTACATACATACATAAAAACATAGACATATCTTTATAACTTTTCAAGATTTTATTATCTCAATTAAAGTACCACATGGGCTAATTTGTGGTAATTTAATGTTTTTATACAACAGGTCAGCACGTTTCCAAGAATTTCCAGAAAATTAATCTGATATCCTAACACAATCATGCCAGCACATTGCATCCAAAGTTAGAAAACCAAAATAAAATTTAATAATACAGAGTAAATGTATCAGGAAAACACTGCAGATTACATTACGTGCTGCCATTTGCTTAAGTATTCAATGCTACCATCAGGAATTTAATGCAAATCTTCTAAGCCTTCTCAAGTAATTTTTCTTGAACTTATCCCCAAAGAATTTACATCAAACCCTGGGTGAGGTGATGTCTAATTTATTGATTTTAAAATAAGTGTATTCAAGGCACACATAACTGCAAGCATTAAATTCATCTATTTGTGCCATATGGAAAGATTAAAACTAACCTGATGTTAGTTCCTTAGTCTGTCCCCCCTTGAACAAGCCAACATCACTTCTGTGGTGAACATGTTATAATAATGTTCTTAAAAGGAAGTTTTATGCTTGACCGAGAGTAGCCTATTGCATGAGGTCACAGTTAATTTTTAAATAGACACAGAAAAGCACAGCATGATGGCAAGGTGATTGAAAGATATCTTCCTCTCTGATTCATTTTAACTCTTCCAATCACTCTCTATTCTCCCTAGCAATTTCTTAAGTGAGAAATGACTTGTCAAGTATATGTGCCACAGAGAACAGTAAGCCTTGGTTTTCCTATAGAGCTCATTCACAAAACTCAAGCAGCAATCACAGGATTACAAATTTACTTCCAAAACCTACGGGTGGAGTGTGCTGTAAATGATGGCTCCAATTGCATGATAGAGAGAACTACCATCAGGAAAGAAAGCAAGAGGGTAATTCTAACAACCCAAATGTTTACAAACATGCACTGGCGACTGTGAGTTCCCTTCTTCCTGTAGATTTGGTGTGGATTGGATTTTCACCTACAAATGCCTATTAGTTGAAGTTCTTTTCTTTGTGTCTATGTCCATTGTTTTTATTTGATTTTAAGAGTAAGCAATTGGGCCGGCGCCGCAGCTCACTAGGCTAATCCTCTGCCTTGAGGCGCCGGCACACTGGGTTCTAGTCCCGGTCGGGGCGCCGGATTCTGTCCCGGTTGCCCCTCTTCCAGGCCAGCTCTCTGCTGTGGCCAGGGAGTGCAGTGGAGGATGGCCCAAGTACTTGGGCCCTGCACCCTATGGGAGACCAGGAGAAGCACCTGGCTCCTGCCGTTGGATCAGTGCGGTGCACCAGCCGCGGAGGCCATTGGAGGGTGAACCAACGGCAAAGGAAGACCTTTCTCTCTGTCTCTCTCTCTCACTGTCCACTCTGCCTGTCAAAAAATAGAAAAAAAAAAAAAGAGTAAGCAATTAGGATTACACTTAACATGTAAAGGTACAGGGAAAAATAGCAGTACCAGTGATCTGACTTTATATTTCATATGTAAAAATCTACCTGATAATGTTACACTTGTCACTTTCAGTTATCTTTGTCATTTTCTTAATAGAGCTACTATTCCACAGGTATTTGATAAATGGAAATCACATCTTAAGATAAACCCGAATACAAAGCAAAAGATAAAACAAAACAAAACAAAATCTACTTCAGGGACCGGTGATGTGGTGCAGTGGGTTAAAACCCTGGTCTGCAGTGCCAGCATCCCATATGGGAGCTGGTTCAAATTTCAGTTGCTCCACTTCTGATCCATCTCTCTGCTGTGGCCTGGGAAAGCAGTGGAAGATGGCCCAAGTCCTAGGGCCCCTGCACCCGTTTGGGAGACCCAGAGGAAGCTCCAGGCTCCTGGCTTTTGGATTGGTGCAGCTCCAGCCGTCGCATCCATTTGGGGAGTAAATCAGCGGATGGAAGACCTCTCTCTCTCTCTCTTTCTCTCTCTCTCTCTGCTTCTCTGTAACTCTGTATTTGTTTATTTATTTCAAATAAATAAATAAATCTTTAAAAAAACCCTACTTCATATATTCAGCATACCAAACTATTAATATTCTTAGAACAAGTTAAATCATGATAAAATAAAAACTCATTAACCTACAGCGGGAGAAAGTATTTTATTAGTTGGCCGATATCACAAAACTAAAAAGTTCTTGATGCGTGCAGAGTGCCCAGTTTCTGGATCCAAAATTGCTTTAAAATTACAGTGAAACTTTTCAAATTGGCTAAATGTAGTTGAGTTGAACTGTGGTTGACTTAGGCAAGTAGTTCATTTACAGGATTTATGATATAATTTTCATGCTATTTTTAGTTGCCAGCAAACCTAAGAAAAGTTGTCATCAATCTGACATTCGGTAGTGTTCTTATTTACAAATTAAGATGATTTAATAATTAACTAATTTCCTAGCATTCCCATGTTAACAAATTAGGCTTTACCTAGGAGTAGCTCATGTTTAATGATAGGAAATTTTACATTTTTATCTGTTTATTTCTATCACCTCTGATTAGAGAGATTTCATTTCCATGTTACTATTAGTTCAAAATAAAATATAAAAAGCTCTCCTCATAGAGGAGATGTTATAGATCTGCAGTCTATAAATAAACTCTTCTACTTAATTATATAAAAGGCAGGTTAAGGTATTCTTGTAATGTTTTTGAATCAAATAAAATTTTATGCATCAAAGTCTTGTGTGACTAAAGACACTCATTTTTGATGAAAAAATAATTCCTGTGACAAAGTCATCAGCCAGCAACTGGTCTTTTCTTAAAGTACAGACTCTGTATTTAATAACTGTCCTTTGCAAAATCTTCACAAATGGTTAAATTTGCCAATTCTGGAATAATGTAGAATTTACTACTATATACTAATTTAGTAAAGTTTAGTATATTCAGAGCTACTACGTGACATATAGAAAATAAAGATGAATTGAATGTTAATCCTACATAATTGGTTTGACTCACTAGTTAAGTGACTCATTCCTCTTCTTATCATAGGTCAGTGGCTGAAATTTATGCTTTTTATGTCATAGACCTATGGAGTTCCTAGAAAACAGTCGAAGTCTCATATACTAATCTGTGAATGCAAAGAATCTATTGTACACAAGATACTATGACAGGCTGGCGCCGCGGCTCACTAGGCTAATCCTCCACCTTGTGGCGCCGGCACACAGGGTTCTAGTCCCGGTCGGGGCGCCGGATTCTGTCCTGGTTGCCCCTCTTCCAGGCCAGCTCTCTGCTGTGGCCAGGGAGTGCAGTGGAGGATGGCCCAAGTACTTGGGCCCTGCACCCTATGGGAGACCAGGAGAAGCACCTGGCTCCTGCCATCGGATCAGCGCAGTGCGCCGGCCGCAACGCGCCATTGGAGGGTGAACCAATGGCAAAAGGAAGACCTTTCTCTCTGTCTCTCTCTCTCACTGTCCACTCTGCCTGTCAAAAAAAAAAAAAAAAAGATACTATGACAATCATGAATTTGTTAAGTCTCCTTATTGTAGCTAGTGATCCTTAAGAAGGCATATTGCATTCAGTTATAATCACTCATAAAACAATTTTATTTCCCTTTTTCTAATTATGATTAAGTTTTTAGTTTAAAATTTAATGATTTTTAGCATTTACCTCATTCATTTCAAAACTAGATATTATATCCATACACATATATGCTATTTGTTCTTGAAAACAGAGATATTAATATCACAGAGTGAGGGGGAAGGTGTATTTCCATGTACCCAGTGTGATTTAGTGAAGCAATGTTTATAATTATGTATCAAGTGACAAGGCATCCACATAATTTTTATACTTTCCAGATATATTAACTTCCACAACTAAGAGAAGATGTGATATTTGTCTTTCTGGTTCTGGTTTGTTTTGCTTAGCATAATGATCTCCATTTCTACACATTTTCTTACAAA